TGACGGGTTCCAAACATGCGGTGTGTGTGTGCGCTAGTGACGGGTTCCAAACATGCGGTGTGTGTGTGTGCGCTAGTGACGGGTTCCAAACATGCGGTGTGTGTGTGTGCGCTAGTGACGGGTTCCAAACATGCGGTGTGTGTGCGCGCTAGTGACGGGTTCCAAACATGCGGTGTGTGTGTGTGTGCGCGCTAGTGACGGGTTCCAAACATGGTGTGTGTGTGTGTGTGTGTGTGTGTGTGTGTGTGTGTGTGTGTGTGTGTGTGCGCTAGTGACAGGGTTCCAAACATGCGGTGTGTGTGCTAGTGACAGGGCTCCAAACATGCGGTGTGTGTGCGCTAGTGACAGGCACCAAGCATGCTGTGTTTCTGCTAGTGACAGGCACCAAGCATGCTGTGTTTCTGCTAGTGACAGGCGCCAAGCATGCACAGAAATGTGAATTCTTGTTCCGGGCCCCAGTGACCTGGTCGGAGGTAGAGCTACCTCTCCAGCAGTTAAGGCATTAAACTGTGTATGTGTAGCATTTCATGAAATGCTGCACATACAGATTCCAAGCACCATGACCACTTCAGATCACTAAAGTGGTTATGGTGCTTAGAGTAGCCCTTTAAGAAAAGATCTGGAGCTGTAGCACACTGATCTGTGAGTCGTTTAGAAATCTGTGCTCGTCCGAACACCTTGCGAGCAGTTTTTTTTCTAGTACAACGAATGGATGAAATGATTGGCATCCCTCAAGTGTCACTGCTATCTCTGCTACTGTGTGCGTACGGTTTGCTGCCTTGTTTTTCTCTTTTTACAGTTCTCTTCTCAAACCTTTATATTTATGTTCCTGGCACATAATTATTCCTATTTCAGGACCATTCACAGAGCAGACTTTTCGCCATTCAAACATTGTAGAGCATTCACGGTTGGCATTACTGTCACCACTTTCACATAAATCAGAACTGCAAATACTCTCTATGCCAGAAGACTATTGAATTAGAACTATGTCTCTTACACTCTTTCTATGTTTTAACAGATCGAGCAGCTGAAACAAAAAGCGGACAAGCGTGTACGCAGTGTGAGTACAGTCAGTGTGTATGTGTGTCTGATACAGTTGGAGACACTGTCCGTAACTACCAGACAAAGTTGGTAAATAATTGAGCTTGTTTTCCAGTGACTGTGTGAATTTCTATTTTGGGCTTGATATAGATTAAGTGATAAACTCATTTAAAGCCCCAGTGGAGGTGGGTTAATAGACGTGAAAGCATATATTGGGGGAAAAAATTTTGATTTTCCTATTCGGTAAAGATATACTAATAGTCCTTAATGTTTCCCATCATCTATTCATTTTAGTCTTTGCTTGGCATCCAGACACAAAGCAGCAGTCACCCTCAGTAAGCAGTCTGGTGGCTGAGATTGATTTCTGCATGCCCTCTGCTATTACTATAAAGGTCTAATGCCAACCTCTGGCACTGTAGGAATTGTGCACTTCACTTAGCAGCTGCCTGAGCTTCAGGAGATGTTTAGTCAAAAGCTCTGCACACGTTGGAACAACGATGGCCAAAGCTAGCCATCATTATTCCAACGTGTGCACTCTAAATATTAAGGGAGTTCCAATCTCAATGAATGACCTGTATATACCCTCCATGAATTCCTAATCATGCACCTTTCATGCAACACACAATTTAAGCTATTTATGTTAAGCTATTTATTTGTGTATTTAAGAAAAATATATTTTGGGGGTCAGGTGGGGGGGAGACAGTAAAGTTTCCCTAAAAAGACAGAGCTAATCTAATCTGAATGTATGTAATAGATTTGTGTATTTTTTTAATGTTTTTTTTTATTTTATTTTATTTTATTTTTTTATGTTCTGTTCTTGCCACACGATATATCTGCCTTAACATGTTTCTAACCTGCAGTTCATGTAATTTCAGGTACGGTACCAAGCGGTAGAAGACTATAGTGGTGCTTGTTGCCCTCTGACCAAAGGCATTCGGACTTTCTTTACCACACCCTGCACAGAGGAACCCCGAATGAAGCTCCAAAAAGGGGAACTTGTTCTAGCAACCAGAGGCTTGAAGTATGTTACATTTATTCGGAGCGTACTGCGTTAATGAACTTTTTCCAGGAGACAATGTATTTATTATCGGCTGAGCGTTGTCAGCCGTTCATCACTGTGTGGGTTTGTTTTAAAAAAAAAAAAAAATCCTGGAGTCCATATGGCCCTTCAGTATATACCACCTTAAAGGAACACTATAAGTTTAAAAACAGCTGTTTAGGTGGCTGCCACTTGCTTACCTTAAATAGTATACCAATTCACTTTTATTCCAGCACCATGCAGGTCTGCCTCCTTGGCTGAGATCATCAGAATTCACAATCTCTTCAATCATATGCTTTCCTATCATCAATTCTTATGATCTTAGCCAAGGAGGCGGAGCAGGGGGCTAAGCTAAACGCCGTACTGGCCAGTCAGCATCTCCTCATAGAGATGCATTCAATCAATGTATCTCTATAGGGAAAGTTCAGCGTCTTCATGCAGAGAGTGGAGACACTGAACATGCACCACTGACCAACAATGCATCTGGAGAGCCATCTCTGAAAAGGTGGTGTTTACATTGAGAACCCTGCAGGGACATACTATACTCACCAGAACAATCACATTAAGCTGTAGTTGTTCTGGTGACTATAATGCCCCTTTTATATATACATGAACTCTTTAAGTGCAGTAGATGTGGTTAATGCATAGGTCATGTGTCTAGTACCCTTGCATAAATTTAATCTCTCAGCAGTGAGTCATCTCACAGTAGTAACAAAATTCAGGTTGTGATAGAACTGAAAAGTGTCACCCCCACCCCCATTGGCAATCTTATGTAAGAGGTTTCCTTTGGCATCTCTTGTAGCTATATAAATAAATAAAATCACTGTAAGTGATGGATTTATATTCGGCTATTTCTGCCTTTACTTTCAGGAATTGGATGTACGGGGAGAAGATTTGTGACGGTGACTCACCCGAAGGTAAGAATAAACCAATTGCCTTTCTGACTAAAAACTCACATACTACTTTATTATTATTATTATTATTATTATTATTATTATTATTAACCCTGTACAAAACTTGGACTAACAGACATGTATTTCTGACAAGTTGGACACACACAGGAACGGAGAGGGTTGAGGGCCTTGCTTAAACAGCTTATATTCTACTTTCTGGATTATGATTATTAGCACATTAGGATTTTCTCGGGTATTGTGTATTTTTATTTTCTTGATGACCAGATTTATTCTTAAACATTTTATTATAAAAGGATTTTATCAGTGGGTGACAGAACACAATCTAGAGATTGGTGGAGCAGCTTGAGTAAGAAATTCCATCACCCTTAGTTTTTTGTGGCTGGTCATATGGAAGAGAATGGGGGAAGTATATCCTAGTAGCCAGATGGTTATAGTGCACCCACCTGTGGAGTTGGCAGAGACCAAAGCATTATACACTATTGTTAGTAGACCTTAACATAACCTTTCTCTGTGTCTCTGACCTTGTCGGCTTATTTGGTTTCGTTAATAGCTGATGGCTGGTTTGGTTTCGGTAGGAACCGATGGCTGGTTTGGTTTCGGTAGGAGCCGATGGCTGGTTTGGTTTCGGTAGGAGCCGATGGCTGGTTTGGTTTCGGTAGGAGCCGATGGCTGGTTTGGTTTCGGTAGGAGCCGATGGCTGGTTTGGTTTCGGTAGGAGCCGATGGCTGGTTTGGTTTTCGGTAGGAGCCGATGGCTGGTTTGGTTTCGGTAGGGTTTGATGGGAGCTATTTGCAAAAGGCAGTTGTAAATTAAAGACTGCCCGGCCTATTCTAGAGGCAAGCCATATTTCTATTTCATTGCCATCTTTTTGCCACAAGATGGCGTATTTTATAAAAATCGATCAGGAGCCTTTACTTACTTACTTTCTTTGACCTGGTTTTCATGTAACCTATTGGTGCTTTTTCTCTTCTAGATGGATCAAAAGTGAGGGGCTGGTTCCCCCGACGCTGTGCGGTAAAATATGTCTCTGACACAGGCTCTGACCAGTCCGATGACGAAAAGGAAAAGAAATCTAGATAGCCCCTTCCTGAGACCCACGTATGGTACCTTTTATTCAGAACAACCAGGCAGTGAACTGAAAATCTATCCAGTAATTCACCGGTTAACAAACCAGCATTAATGACTGAGGCTGGGTTAAGGGTTCATGTAACCTACCTCTACCATGGCAGCTGGGAGTCTCCGTACACCAGGGCAGAATTACCTTCATCTATTTCTTGGAAACGTCCCCCACCTGAACTACTTGATCTAGTTTCTGTGACCATTGAAGGTGACAAAACCTAAACCGAGAATAGACAGGGGAATAGCAAAGAATAGGAAAGTTTAGATTGATATAGCTGAATTCGAAAAATAACAGATTTAAAGAATGATATATCAGCTGTTTAAGGCCAAAAATTGAATTCCCTTTCAATTTCTGACAGTTTACACTTTTAGTGAGTAACCCTGATAAGCCGTTAGGAGGTCCTTAAACTGGGAAGAAACATATTCCCAGCACTGGTAAACTGCATGTGGAGTGAGATCAGAGTGTGAGTGCACACTCTTACTGTAGAATCCTGCGCTGTTCTAGGTGTGACAGTCGTGTGTATCAGGGAGAGGGATCTGGAGCGTTCTTCTACATGTCCATATTCTAATACATTAAAACCACTGCTTTTGGAAAGGCACTATCGAAGCGACTGGTGATTGGAATTACCAAAATCTAATAAAGGACTGGCAGAGAAATGTTTTTTATAGCAGGATTTAGTAAATGCAGCCAGGGTTAGAAAACGACTACTAAAGACCAAATGCACCTCAAACATAAACCTGAGGGATTGTGAAATGGCCCATCTAAGCCAAGCAGAACGATAATCTCTCATTGGGGCCAGATCTACCATTGTATTGTTACTTCAGGCTATTAAACACACTATGGAGAATATCTTTGACCCCTTTGTAAATCTACTTCAGCAGAGATGACCACCACCATCACAGGAGTTGTAGTTCTGCAATGGTGGGGGTGATGATTGCCTTTTGGCCGCCCCCACCTTACAGGTTTATTTATTGAACAATGATTGAGGTGATTCAACATCACAGATGGCGCTTATATGCCAAAAAATGCAAAATGTTGGCACAAAAATCTCACACTTGGCCAACTTAGAGATTTGTTCCAATTTGCCAAAGCTCATTGCTTAGTGAATAAACCCTTAGTCTTGTTTAAAAAAATGTTCTGTTTCATACCAAATAATATGCAAATGTCTTTAATGCATTTCCTAGCAGAGCGTGTATGTAATGATCCCTCAATGTTTCCTGAGGGCAAACTGTATTAAAATGTTATTCGTAACGTGCTGTTTTATTATCTGATAACCGTGTGTTCTCTCCACTTAAATTAGAATATTTTTATCTTGTTAAATTTCTTCTGAACTCCGACCTTTTTACAGTTGTACAGTCTGTCAATTGGTAATAAAAGGGAAAAGCCAAGTCTATACATTTTCTTCATAACCTCTCACATACAGAATCTGTCATTCAGCATCTAATAACCAGTCTTCATTTATCTCATTGGTAAATGGGCAGATTCTCTGTGTATCCATGTGACTGGGCAGATTTTTATTTATTTATTTTTTTATAAATGGGCATCTGATTGCAGTGGGAATCCCTAAAACCCTTCAAGTTACTAAAGACAGAATGATTAACAAGCTAAATAAGGCATCCAATTCCATGGCCTTTGGCATATTCTTGGCGTCTTGGTGCGTGAGCATTCCTAACGAAGGAGCGGCAGGCTAAAAACAGCATTTACCTGTGAAGTTTTACCTAATGCTTTTATTTCTATATATCGTAGTATTCTCTGAGGATTTATTTCTGTTTGGAACATTAGGGTTACCCGGCCTATAAGTACACAGACCTCCCCTTGATCTGCGCCGATACTTCATGTTTCAGTATAGAACCATCTACTTCCGGTTCAAAGGTTGTCAACACAAATTACCTAAACATCTAACAATCTGGTCTTGGCCTCATGCGGCCTACACAAGTATTTATTTTACCTCACTTGAGTAAAAAGCAGCTGCCTCCCCCGAAGCTCATGGAGCCACCACCGTGTCCAGCCCAGCCATGGCTCTTCCTGTTTGTGTGTGGGGTTTTTTTTTTGTTTGTTTGTTTTTTGTTTTGTTTTTTTACGAAAAAAAAAAACTTGTTTTGTTTGGGATTCGCTATCACTGACATGTATTTGGCCTTTCACTAACTAGGGTGGCATTCACAGTTCAGTCGGTATTTAGCCCTCTTTGAGATAGGCCAAATTTGCATCCATTGGGAAATTTTCCATATTTCAGTCATACATAGCATCACAGTGATACCTCAATTAGGTTCATGCATTCTGCTTACTGTATTCGGCCATAACTATTTTTTAATCATACATTTTTTCATATTTGCAGCTTATCGGCCCTCGGTTATACTTGTCAGCTTTGAGCAGATCATTATTTGTTACTCATGTTCACCAGGCCTCTTCCAGCCTCAGAGCCTATATACACTATATTTCCGCCATCTGGATATTCAGGCGTTCATTGGGCCTACATTGTTTAAAAATTATAAGGCTAGGTGTTGCTACTGATGATCTAAATTTGTCAGGCCCAAACTTAAGCTTATACATGTGGTATGGATGGTACTGCCCATCCATCCACTCATCTTCCATCAGTGGTATCATGTTACTCAAATGTCTCATTATCTCTAATTAATAGTCCTACCATTACAGGCCTCTCAAGGGTCAAGTTATGATATAGAGAAGGTCCACCGTTTTGCTCACCAACCATCAATCAACCCACTTATCATTTTCATACACCTGCTAGTTCTCATACCATGTGGCCACCCCACTACTCATGAATTGTAAAGAGCCCTCCTAGCCTTCTACTCCTATACCTTAGCACTAGGCCTTTACTACTACGCTTCATACGGCCCTTGATGGGCTTACTGCTAGTTAAGGATTTACTAGAGCTTACTGCTCTGACCTAATTTTGGCCTTCCTGACGCTCAGGGTTTATATATTGCCCTATTATACTACGTTTAAGTACACCACTTGGTGTAAAAATACTTAAAATAACAGATCCAAGACCAGAGCATCACTACTGCCCATATGCAATTCACAGTCCATTTCCTAACTCCTACAACCTTGGAACGATTAACCTACATTTGTTCATGCCATAATCAGTACATCTCATGCAGCCTATTATCAACCCGTCGGCTCAAGACTTGCATTTGACACTATTGCCTTCCAGAACACGTGAACTTCGCTCAGTCAGCTACATATGGCCCTCCGCGGGCGATCCACTATGACACAATTTCGACCCCTCATTTGGGCAATTCCATACGACATTGACAGCTTTACAAGGATTTAAAGGGACACTATAGTCACCAGTGCAACTACATGTATTCCTGACCCTATAGTGTTAACACGACCATCTAGCCCCCCTGGGCCCCTCATGCCTCCATAAATATAGTAAAAAATCTTACTGTATTCAAGCCCGAAGCTGTAAATCTGCATGCTGTTAGACTCAGGAAAAACAAGCAGTCTGCTGACATGTGATAGCCTGATCCAATCACAGTGCTTCCCCATTGACTGAGACTGACAATCAGGCAGATCAGGGGCAGAGCCAGCATGATTCAAACACAGCCCTGGCCAATCAGCATCTAATCATAGAGATGAATTGAATCAATGAATCTCTATGAGTAAAGTTCAGTGTCTGCATGCAGAGGGAGGAAATACTGAATCACAGGATGCTTGTGCACAGCAGATCTGAGTGGATGTAGGCGTATTATACCTCCATCAACTCAGAAGTCCCTCTGGTTCACTCTGAGTGACTGCAATTGGAGGTGTTCCTAGCTTTCAATGTAAAAACTGTATTTTCTGTTTACACGAGAGAGGCTGCAGGGAGCTATAGTTCTCACCTGAACAACCTCATTAAGCTGAAGTTGTTCAGGTGACTATAGTGTCCCTTTAATACAACTCTATCATACTACGGTATACTATTCCTCTCAGCATTGTTAGGCCCATGCATGTTCTTCCTATACAACCCTGCACTTCTGAGAACCTAGAACACCTCATTACACATTTAACCATATTCAGGCATCCTCGGTCTGTCATGGTTTTACTTAAAGGGATACTGTAGGCACCCAGATCACTTCAGCTCATTGCAGTGGTCTGGGTGCAATGTCCCTTAACCCTACAGTGGTAATTATTGCAGTTTTTGAAAAACTGCGATAATTACCTCTGAGGATTTACTCCTTCTCTAGTGGCTTTCTAACAGAATTTGTTTTAAAACATATTGGGTGAAATATCCCAGTGCATATCATAGTGCATCCCTTCCCTCAACTGAGGCAGGCATTTAACGTATTGGCTTCATAATGTCAACACGTATTAAAGTGTTGGTTTCAGCACACCACATCCAATTTCCACCACCACCACTGTAACACGGCTTATTTTCCCTGACCACGAATATATATATAATGCTTGCATCTCATTCTTTATAATGAAGGCTCCTCAATCCTGCCTTGCTTGTAACAGAATCTGAGTTTGTCTCACAGTTTATGTATTGTCTGGATATAATTTTCCTACTGCACCATAATAAGATGGTTTAGGAGCGAGTTCCTGTGACTGTTCTGTGGAATGAAGCCTGTTCCCTGTCAGTGCTCAATGGCCTATGCCTGTTTGGGGCAGTTCTATACAGTTAAGATTTTTCTTCAAAGCAAATGACTGTAAGCTCTTTACGCTACTCCCCACTATGGAAATAATGTCCATCGCCTTCAGAGTGTTTCATCATTTGAACTGCTCCATTTACCTAACTCTTAGAGATTTATTCACTAAAACAGAATTATAATTTGCTAACTATATGATCGCAGCTCGGCGGTTTGCACTGCAGGAACATACAGACAGGAACCTGCAGTGTGGCCGTGTTTAGACTCTATGAGGGTCTCTTTATACATCATTTTTTACAAAGAAATAAACAGACACTGGATGGAGCAGACACTTACAGGTCCCTTTTTTAAATTATAAAAACTTTTATTTCATTATTCCTCTTCTAGATACACATACAGTGACTTCCAAAAACATCCCCTCAATGCCACCAGATGGGGCACGTCATTTCATTTTGTTTTATGAATCACAGATACATCCTAGTCTTCCACTCGGAAAGCGGCTAAATTAGTTCTTCTGGTAAAAACGTTGCTCAGCCGTCCAGCCTTACGCTCTTTCCTCATGAGCACCCTGCTCGTAAAATAGCATCTGGCTGCATGTATGGCCATGATGCCACATTCTGGCTAAAAGCTGTTCAGTAAAACTGTACTCTTTATTCCTGTAGTTTTGTGTATAAGTCGTCTATTTGACTGCGGAAATATTTGGCAACCTCGGCTCTCTTGGCTTTCAGCGTAGGTGTCAGGAAACCATTCTCAACAGTGAACATTTCAGAATGGACATAGATATCCTTAACCTGAGGAAAGACGGCACATTTTATAAGCAGTATTCAATCGATATGTGACAATTCACAGGAAGCCGTTACACAAATTCTAAAACATCATTTTTTATTTTTTAAAGATTTAATTGTGTGTCATGAATTGGTCTACGGAGTCCCTAAATCTCTTAACATATACCCAGTTTCCCTGAAAATAAGACATCCCTAGCTAGGGCTTATTTTCGGGGGATGCTCGTAATATACACCTTACCCTGAAAATAAGCCCTAGTCTCTAGTTCGCTAATACCCGAACATAGATTCGCAGGGTTCTACGCCCTAGTGAACTGGTTTATGTTTGAGGGAATTCACCCGAATGTAGACCTGCTTTCTAGCACTTGCTACCGTTTTTCCCTGAAATAAGACATCCCCCAAAACTAAGCCCTAGTTTGTTTTCAGGGAAAAAATTAATATAAGACCCGGTTTTATTTTCGGGGAAAGACTGTATATATCAATATATTAAAACCAGAAATTACATTATCGTATAAAATATAGATGAGCGCATAGTTAAGGATTTTATATACACCTGGGCAATTTATTTTATTGTTACATGTTGATAAAACAGACCCTAAATTACCATGGCGACAAGACTTTTAACTCTACTAAAGCTAGTATTTCCATCTCAACTCCAATGGATTCTCCATGAAATATACTGATTTTCAGAATGTTAATGTGTATTTTAATACCAACTTTTCTTGTTTTTGTGTAAATTCATGCCATTAACTATTCACATAAGTTGGTAGAGGGGTACTATACCACATACGGACAGAGCACCCCCCACCTAAACATTACAAGCCCCCCAAGTCGCTACCAATATTCATTCAATACCTGTTCAAATGACTTGAGACCAGCTTGTTTTCCAACTTTAACCATGTCATCCAGAATGGCTTTCTTCATGACCTGGAATGAAAACCATACACGTTGATGCTGACGATCTGTTACTGCAGGAGATGCCTTATGTACGGGATGGATTGAAATATGTGCAAAGTAACAGAATGTGTGTCGTGAATTGACAGACGGAAGTTCAGTCCTCTGACAGCAGCGCCATATTTAAATAGAGGACTCTACGCAGTTATTTTAAGGGCAACTGCGTGTGTTTTTATATACAGACAGTAGGAATAGTATCCACCCAACTATGAAAAAGACAAAGAATAACTCTAAATGAATATTTTATGCCAACAAAGTGAGAATTATCAAGAGTTTAAAGTGAGTTACGCGTTGTTTGTGAAAACAGGTGACTTTAAAACAGCTGCCTTGGAGAGTTTTTACAATTACACTATTTTGCCCTAAAAGTTTAATTTCAATTTGAATTTTTAACAGTTCACAAATGAATGAATAACTGTATTTCTCAGATAGCGCTGCCTGAGCTGGCAAAGCACCATGCGAGACGTAGTCCGGGCTGGAGAGCTGCCGTTTTCCATGAAGTAGGCCTTGACTCCAGGTTGAATGATACTCGCCTCGTTCTTGCATAACTCTTCGTACGATCCTTTCAGTCCGTGTTTAGATGCAAAATCAGGCAGAACCTCGTTGTCGGGAATCACAACGCCAACAAGACACGCCTTGAAAATAGATAAATAATGGCAAATCAAATCACAGTTTGTTAGGTACGGGTTTATTATTTAGCACAGACAGGGATCATAGCCATTTTTACATATTGTTTCATGTAATTTATTCATTGGAGAAGAAATAATTGCAGGAATAATGTTTAACCTCTTAAGGACCAAACTTCTGGAATAAAAGGGAATCATGACATGTCACACGTCATGTGTCCTTAAGGGGTTAATCCATGCTAGCAGTCGTTAAAGATTACATTTTATTCCTTTGAATTGACACAAAGGGACGTATTTCTTAAACAATGAATTCTAGTGAGATGGAAACAGAACTGCAAAATTCAAACTAAAAGATCCAAATGTGACTATAGTGGAGATGGCAAATTGTTCCAATTTGGTGATTTTGTTTATTTTACTTTTTAATTCACTGTTTAGTGGATAAGCTCCCAAGTCACGTTGATCATAAAATAAGCACTTCAATGTTTTTTCGCCAGATTTGAGGGGCAGCTCGTGGTGGGTACAGGCAAAGTGCTGGCTATGCTGACTTTATTATTTGGGTAAAAAAGGGTCCCTACCTTTAAACTGTCTCCGTGTACAAAGACCTGGGCCACGGGCGCACTCCTCACGTACACGTTCTCAATCTTCTCCGGAGCAATGTATTCTCCCTGTGCCAGCTTAAAAATATTCTTTTTCCTGTCAATTATTTTCAGGGTTCCATTCTGTTAGAGAAAAGAAAAACATTTCCGTAAGAGGGTTTGAATATGTTCAGCACTTCATCCCTGGAGTGATATTTAGCTGCCATGTCACGTCACAAGCCTTCCCATCTCAAGGTCTCATTTCTGTCGGGAAACCCATCATTTTTTGTTAGGGCAGTACATGAAAGCGCTGACCTTCCATCTGTAGATATCCTATACTGCAGGAGAGAAATCGATTGACTAAGATTCGAGCCAAATTTCTTAATGAATGCATTGATTTCCCTCTTGCAGCATATTGATGCTACATACGGCAACCCATTGTCCATCCAGAGGCTGCAGAATAATGGAGTCAACATCCCATTATCCTCATCAAGTGCATAATGGGAGTGGCAGTGCACAGCGGCTGGAGATCCTATGTGTCTGTGTTAATGCTATGGTTTTTTAATGTACGGTAGGGCTCTCCAGGTACACTCATTAGTTAGTCTTGTCATGTTACAAGTCTATGTGTCACGTTACAAGCCCACATAACTTGGCTAATTCTCTGGCTAGTAATGTGTGGTTTCTCTCTCAGCAGGTGCAATTCCCGAAGCTACTTACTGCCCTAAATTGGCCCCAGTCCCTCCGAGAGCCCTTAATCTGGCCCTGGGAGTATTGCTTTTTAATGAAAGACACACAAGCTTGTGGTTTCATCTTATTAATACCTGTCTGTGGATAATTCCCAGTTTGTGCAGAGGTGATGGCTCTAATCTCAGTCTGCTTTTTAACCCTCTCACAGGGATATTCACTGAACTCCAAATTATAGTGCATTAAAACCCAAATGAAAGAATATTTTATTGCGCAACTTTCTGGGTTCAAAGTGGGAAAATAAGTGTTTGTATCAAGGACAACTTCCCTTGTTAGCCCATATTTTTTTTTTCTTTACCAGTTTATTGGATAAAGTCTAAATGTTATTTTCTTTGCCTCTGAGTTTGAAGTATTTATAAAGAGGCTAATACATTAACGAAAATAATTAATACTTTAACAAAAAACAATTGTACAAAAATGCTGTAATGAGCGAAAAGCAATGTCTGTCTAACACGAACTGATTGGCGTTCAAGAAATTCATATAAATGATTCCCTCCGACACGCAACAACTGCTTTCAGGTGAATATTTTCATTTCTATGCACTATGCGTATTCATTAACCCTTTCACCCCCATCCCAGTGCACACACAGATGGAAACACTTATGAGATCATAACATTTTTCTTATTTTGCCAATGGTGATATCGCCATTTGGTGTGCATAGCTCAGATGTAGATATACTTACCTGATGGCCCTGGGGTCACCACCATCATCTTTCTTTAGCTTGTGGCATTTTATCCACCAGAAACCCAAGTCAGTGCTGTACTCATGGGTACGTACGAGACTGCAACACTGATGTTAATGGAGGAACCTGCAAGACCGCGAGATCCTCCATAGATATTGTCTGCTGATGAGCAAGATAATGCCTTACTCTTCCAGCTGTCGCTACTGATGCCCAGGGGAACAGACACATTGACTGAGGTAGCTCTGCCTTTTGTGAAGTTTTTATCAAGCAAGTTCTGTTTAGGGTCACGCTGACACTTTAATCAGGAAAGGTTATTAACTAAATTGTCAATTCAAAATAATTTCATATTTAAGGCCAAAATAGCTGATCTGGATAAATTCTAGAAGTTAGCTATGTGTTAATTTTAGTTGTTTTGGTAGAAAGCTTGGCAATTAACAATTTATGGAATAACCCTGCAAACATGTAACCACAATTGTGAATTATTGACACTGAACGTGGACGTACCGGCAGCCATTTTCCGATATCTCCCGTATGAAGCCATTTATCGTCATCTAGAGCTTCTGCCGTCTTCTCTGGATCCTTCAGGTAACCTTTAAAAACATTGGGCCCTTTGATGCAGACCTGAGGGTAACAGTTGGTGAACATATTAAAGTGATACATGTTACAAACTGTGATACGTTACATCCATCGAACCAGAGGATCCAACCTACCTCTCCTTCTCCATTGGATGCAAAGTAGTTCATATCGACGACATCGACTAATTTCACCAGATTACACGGCAGCGGAGCACCAACATGACCTGCAATTGGGAGTTAGAGACATGGCTTGGGAATGTTTTTGGAAATCACAATTGCTTCGTAAAGTCTGAATATCCTTGAATTTGAATTTAAGATTTTAGGCAAAGTAATCAAATTGGAGACATCTCCCAATCGCCTGTTTTCAGTTTAGCAGCTGTGTCCTAAAATTTGATATTTACTGTGTATTCACTCTGTTTTCTACAATTCACACTTTAGTAAATAATCCTGTAATTTCACCAACAGTGAGTTCTCCAATCTCCGTTCACCTACCGGCTGTCCAGTCTCCTGGCGTAGAAAACGTACATCCCGCCCCACACTCAGTCTGACCATAAGCTTCAAATATCTGTATTGATTGGAATGGGTTGACGTTACATTTTACAGTTTCTCGCAGATAATATATCACTTTTTTTTTTACAATAACCACCTCTACTTGTGAAAGAAAATGAACTTTATATAAAAAGTTATTCAGATTTTTATGAAATGTAATAATAGGTTTACAAGGGCATAAAATGACTACAATAATAAATAATACATTCTTTAAAATATTATATTTAAAAAAAGAATTAAATATCATGAAAATAATGTATTACAGTAACCCCAACAATCATTAACCCGTAAATGTAAGTTGAATTAAGTATTTTATGCTTGACTTTCCAGTAATAATTTTCAAGTTTCAACATGTGTTGCAGGAGAAGGGTTTCCTGTCTCACAGAAGATTTCTTTGTAACTTGTATTTTATTCATTGTTTTATAGAATTATGCCACATTCTATTTCACATTTATAACAGATAAAATAAGGTGTATGGGAGTTACCCAGATCTTTAGAGATCACTTACTTGACAGCCCAACGCGGCTCTGAGGAAAGACAAAACATTTTCTGAAATGGGAGCTGCAGCAGTCACCATTACCCGGACACGGCCGCCCATTGTATCCTACGGGAGAATGCATGTGAATGAGTTATGCTCCTATATGTACCAGAATTTGATGGTAGGAGAAGTGGGATTTCAGACCAGGGATTAGAAATTTTGATTAAATTGGTTAGACCATAGTAAGAGGCATATAATTCTGGATTGTTAGACCATAGGAAGAGGCAGATAATTCTGGATCAGTTAGACCAAGGAATAGGCAGATAATTCTGGATCGGTTAGACCAAGGAATAGGCAGATAATTCTGGATCGGTTAGACCATAGGAAGAGGCATATAATTCTGGACGGTTAGACCAAGGAATAGGCAGAGGCAGATAATTCTGGATCGGTTAGACCAAGGAATAGGCAGATAATTCTGGATCAGTTAGACCATAGGAAGAGGCAGATAATTCTGGACGGTTAGACCAAGGAATAGGCAGAGGCAGATAATTCTGGATCGGTTAGACCAAGGAATAGGCAGATAATTCTGGATCGGTTAGACCATAGGAAGAGGCAGATAATTCTGGATCGGTCAGACCAAGGAAGAGGCAGATAATTCTGGATTGGTTAGACCAAGGAATAGGCAGATAATTCTGGATCGGTTAGACCATAGGAAGAGGCAGATAATTCTGGATCGGTTAGACCATAGGAAGAGGCAGATAATTCTGGACGGTTAGACCATAGGAAGAGGCAGATAATTCTGGATCGGTTAGACCATAGGAAGAGGCAGATAATTCTGGATCGGTTAGATATTAGTGATTTATTGGTTATACTTCTTTATATTGGGTGTATTGAAATAGAAATACTGTGTAGAAAATCTGAAACCTGTGGAATTCAGAAAGAATACATACTCCCTCTAAACTCAAGCACCTACCAAGCAGCCCTGTAACAACCATTTTACTTTTAAATAGAATGAACCCTTTCATTGAATTACTTTCTAAAGTATCCCCTGGCGTGCACATACCATAATATGGATATAGGCAGATTGTTAGATGTCCGATTCGATTGGTGCATTGACTAATCAGATCCTTTAATCCAGAGCTAGCCAAAAGGTATATTCTCACCCACATGCAGGCTTTGGTGGGATCTATAGTCGCACAGCAGTTGGAGAACTGTCTTTTGGCCACCTCCAGTCTCTCTTCAAGTTAAAATGAATGCAAGTTCTCTCATTGGTCGCCTTTGAGAACAGGCAGCCAATCAGAAAGCTCAGATTCAGTGAGGAGGGAAGCAGATGGTGTAAACATGTGAACAAGCAACTTCTTTTAAATCTTTTATTTCAATTGGTTTAATGTAAAACAGTTAATGCCTCACCTGGACTTTCTTAAATATAAATTTGTCCCAGATGCTGTCGTTCCGGATAATACCATTTTTTACTTCTGAAAACTTCCTCGCTGCGGCAAATTCCAAGAGGTGTTTCTTGAAAGGTGTCTGTGCTCCACTTTGTATCTGAGAAATTAGATATTTTTCATCTTAATAGTCTGCTCCTTTTAGTTTTAAAAAACATGGTTAACTTTTTGATAACTTGTCAAAAATGGGCCTGACTTGCAAACATGGCTACACTGCATGGATTGCATGGATGCCAAGTAATTTCATGTGATGGTTCCTCAGCCTTTGGCATTATGACAAATTATTCAGAATTTGAATGCTCATTTTTACACAGTCACAATAACTATATGTTTGCTAAGCCTATCGTGGCTTGGTATTTAGATACAGTGAATTGTTAGGGGAAACATCCTGGAGACAAATTGTACCAATGTCAATAAATAATAAGAGGTTAAGATCCCTAATCTGGAAACGCAATGTTTCTGTTTCATGGCATGCACTAACCTTGTCGTAAATCCTGTTGAGCAGCCTTGGAACTGTTGGAAACACAGTTGGCCTCAGAGTTTTCATGTCCTCTGTCAGTAACCGCACATCACCTTGAAAAAATCCCACCTTGGCTCCAGAGCAGAAGATGACGGCCTGGAAAGACAACACTTTATAAGTACAGTGCCAGGAAAACGAGGCAGTATATACAGTATTAATCCCTTTTTACCCACTACTAGCACTTTGAGTAGGCACCATGGGGTCCTATAATGATCTCTGCCTGGTACTATGCTGGGTTTGATTAGTGCCACCCATGGGTCCTGGTCCATCTACCTGTATCTCCATATGTGGTCTGTGCTATACGTATTCATTGCCCGGCCTCTGCTATGTATTGTGGGAGTGGACTCTCATGCCTAGCAAGGTAATGAGTTCTATGGAATTCTTCCACTCTGTAAGACAAAATCTAGACATTTCTAAAAACTATTCAACTCGAATGGAACAAAGCTGCAGAGCTGCCATCAGGTGTGAAAGCCCATGGTATGCTAATGGGCCGCTAGGGAGTCTACTTGAAAGCATTATGGCACTGTGGACATGGTCTAGGTCGGGAACCAGATATATAGAAAGATGTAGAACAACCCCGGGAACTAGACATACATAAAGCTCTAGAACAACCCAAGAAACTAGATATACATAAAGTTCTAGAACAACCCCGGGAACTAGATATACATAAAGTTCTAGAACAACCCCGGGAACTAGATATACATAAAGTTCTAGAACAACCCCGGGAACTAGACATACATAAAGCTCTAGAACAACCCAAGAAACTAGATATACATAAAGTTCTAGAACAACCCCGGGAACTAGATATACATAAAGTTCTAGAACAACCCCGGGAACTAGATATACATAAAGTTCTAGAACAACCCCGGGAACTAGACATACATAAAGTTCTAGAACAACCAAAGAAACTAGATATACATAAAGTTCTAGAACAACCCCAGGAACTAGATAGACATAAAGCTCTAGAACAACCCAAGAAACTAGATATACATAAAGTTCTAGAACAACCCCGGGAACTAGATATACATAAAGTTCTAGAACAACACCGGGAACTAGACATACATAAAGCTCTAGAACAACCCAAGAAACTAGATATACATAAAGTTCTAGAACAACCCCGGGAACTAGATATACATAAAGTTCTAGAACAACCCCGGGAACTAGACATACATAAAGTTCTAGAACAACCCCGGGAACTAGATAGACATAAAGTTCTAGAACAACCCCGGGAACTAGACATACATAAAGTTCTAGAACAACCCAAGAAACTAGATATACATAAAGTTCTAGAACAACCCCAGGAAGTTCTAGAACAAGACTAGATATACATAAAGTTCTAGAACAACCCCGGGAACTAGATATACATAAAGTTCTAGAACAACCCCTAGGAAACTAGATATACATAAAGTTCTAGATATACATAAAGTTCTAGAACAACCCCGGGAACTAGACATAAAGTTCTAGAACAACATAAAGCTCTAGAACAACCCAAGAAACTAGATATACATAAAGTTCTAGAACAACCCCGGGAACTAGATATACATAAAGTTCTAGAACAACCCCGGGAACTAGATAGACATAAAGTTCTAGAACAACCCAAGAAACTAGATATACATAAAGTTCTAGAACAACCCAATAACCAATAATACCAGCAAAGTTTATTGTATGTGTAGAAGCCCTATAAAGGGTTAAATGTGAAAGGGTTTATAAAACACCCCTTCCTGTCTCATTGGAGATTCTTGGCTGATATCAGCATATCTAATGGCTAGTGTAGGAACTCACCTATTGAGGCTTGCCTTGACGTGGCAGGTGAGCTTATATATTCAAATGGCCATTGGAATAAAACTAAAGAGCCTCCATTTTGTTTAAATGTACATGTGGATTTAGGCCAGAGCGCAGGTAACGTTTTCTTTGTTTTTACTATGTATTTTAAGCTGTTGGATACTAAGCTACTGCTGCTGTAAGCGCGGTGCTTTATCTTTGTGTTTGTATACATAGCTACATGTGTCTGTCTTCCTGCTGAATGTAACAGTAACACGTTTTACCTGCACCACTCTCTCAAACATGTGCGCCATCGGTAGGTAAGAAATGGTTATATCAGACGTCACAGGAGCAAATGTGCTCTGTACAGAAAGAAATGGTCTCCAATCAGTAATTCATCAATCAATATCAACCGTATCAATATACATTATATCAATAAACACATATATTAATATCCACCGTATCAATATACATTATATCAATAAAATATGTCTGAAAATCCATCGTATCAATATACATTATATAAATTAAATATGTCTGAAAATCCACCGTATCTATATACATTATATCAATATGTATTTGATCAATATATTATACATTTAATTAATATACTTGTTATATAACTATACATTCTTCTAGTACATAGTATATAAATACCCACGTTATTAGAAAACATTATATCACTATATTATATAAATATCTACCTTATTAATATACACTGTATAAATTTTATGCAATATAACATATAAATATACACTGTATCAATATACATATATATATATACACACACTTTTACTGTATCAATATATTATATAATAATACCATTATTTTACCATTGTATTAATATACAGTAAATAAATTCACATTCATTCAATATATATATATATATATATAATAGAAATATACATTATACATTATATTAATATATGAATTTATCATGACAGTGCAGTATATCCTTTACCCAGTAAAGACAAAAGGGAATTGGGGGCACACCCTGCACATGCATTCTGGAGGAATGGTGCTGCCGTAGTGACCAAAATTCATACAGAACACAGATTAAGTTACAGCACACACATGAAAACACAGTTTAAAACTTTATAAGGCTACTTAAAATCACCTCTCAAATATCTGCATTCAATTTCATCATATGGCCACATTTTTTTGTTAAGCCCACCACTACTTCACAGTACCCCAATATCATTGGGTCCTACATTAATTACATCACAGTAGCCAAAAAATGGTGGCGGGTAAGACTACTTGCATCACAAGAGCCCAATATCCATGGGTCATACAATAATTACAGCACAGTATCTCAATATCGGTGGGTCCTACACTAATAACATCACACTACCCCAATATCGGTGGGTCCTACACTAATTACATCACAGTACCCCAATATTGGTGGGTCCTACACTAGTGATGTTACAGTACCCCAATATCAGTGGGTCCTACACTAATTACATCACAGTACTCCAATATCGGTGGGTCATACAATAATTACAGCACAGTATCTCAATATCGGTGGGTCCTACACTAATAACATCACACTACCCCAATATCGGTGGGTCCTACACTAATTACATCACAGTACCCCAATATTGGTGGGTCCTACACTAGTGATGTTACAGTACCCCAATATCAGTGGGTCCTACACTAATTACATCACAGTACTCCAATATCGGTGGGTCATACAATAATTACAGCACAGTATCTCAATATCGGTGGGTCCTACACTAATAACATCACACTACCCCAATATCGGTGGGTCCTACACTAATTACATCACAGTACCCCAATATTGGTGGGTCCTACACTAGTGATGTTACAGTACCCCAATATCAGTGGGTCCTACACTAATTACATCACAGTACTCCAATATCGGTGGGTCATACAATAATTACAGCACAGTATCTCAATATCTGTGGGTCCTACACTAATTACATCACAGTACTCCAATATTGATGGGTCCTACACTAATTACATCACAGTACTCCAATATTGGTGGGTCCTACACTAGTTACATCACAGTACCCCAATATCAGTGGGTCCTACACTAGTTATGTCACAGTACCCCAATATCGGTGATTCCTACACTAGTTATGTCACAGTACCCCAATATCAGAGGGTCCTAGACTAATTACATCACTGTACCCCAATATCAGAGGGTCCTACACCAATTCCAACATCAGAGAAAATAGTGCTTAATAAACTAAAGTGTATTATAATAATCTGCTGTTAGAGCTTTGTGAATATATATAATGCAAAATGAAAGTATTATTAAAATAAATGCAATTCAAGCAATTCAAAACTCATGTAATAAGTATTTATTGTACGTGTTAGTTATTTTTTGCAATCATATTGCCAGCACAGTCCTTTAATTTAATTATATTTATATTAAACTATAGCTGGACTGAGACTCCCATCACTCTTCACCTCCGCTGAGGATTGTGCAGAGTGTGTATAAGACTGGACTCTTACCTCTGTGTTTTTTAGGAAGCTGGCTGTGTCTGCTACCACATTTTCATGGGTCAGCATGGCTCCTTTAGGGTCACCTAGTACGGGGATATGAGGAGACATTCATAATAAGAGTGAACACAAGCCATCAGCATCTCCCAACATTTCAAACGAACAAAGAGGGGCACATAAAGGTTCGGGTGTGAGTGGGTCTCTTCTGAGATATTTTAGGGTACGGTCTCCTCCATGCCACAGGAAGGGCTAGCAGTTTAACCTTTGATGCTCAGTGTATGGGCTGTCCCCATTGCCCGGAAAGACCCCGCACATTGCACTGACTGGCAGTGAGGCCGGGTAGGTTGTGCATCCTAATCACTCTGAGTCTGGCATGGGCGGAGCCTATCAGAGGAGAGGAGGGACTGTAACCCCGCCTCTAACTCTACTTGTAACCCCGCCTCAAACTCTATTTGAAACCCCGCCTCTTATCTTGCTTGTAACCCCACCCTTTACTCTACTAGTAATCCCGCCTCTTTCTCTACTTGTATACCCATCTTTTATTCTGCTTGTACCCGCCCATTATTCTACTTGTAACCCCGCCTCTTATCCTGCTTGAGACCCTGCCCATTACTTTATTTGTAACCCCTCCTCTTTCTCTACTTATAATCCTGCCTCTAACTCGACTTGTAACCGCGCCTCTAACTCTATTTGTAACCCCGCCTCAACTCTATTTGAAACCCCGCCCCTAACTTGACTTGTAACCGCGCCTCTAACTCTATTTGTAACCCCGCCTCTAACTCTATTTGAAACCCCGCCTCTTATCCTGCTTGAAACCCTGCCCATTACTCTACTTGTAATGCCGCCTCTAACTCTATTTGAAACCCCGCCCCTAACTCGACTTGTAACCCCGCCTCTAACTCTGTTTGAAACCCCGCCTCTTATCCTGCTTGCACCCACCTATTACTCTACTTGTCACACCGTCTCTAACTCTATTTGTAACCCCGCCTCTTACTCTATTTGTAACCCCGCCTCTTATCCTGCTTGAGACCCTGCCCATTACTCTACTTGTAACCCCGCCTTTAACGCTCCCTGTAACCCCACCTCTTACCATGCATGTAGCCCTTCCTGCAAGGCCCCCCCTCTACCTGTGACCCCACCTGTAACGTTGCCTCTAACTCTGTATATCCAGTACGGTGCTGGCAGTATGTACTGACAGAATATATATTTTAAGAAGAGGGTTTGTACCTGTAGTTCCACTGGTAAAACACACTACACACAGGTCGTCTGGTTTTGGTGGCTGAAGGCAAAGAGAACAGGTTGAGGTACAGGCGTTGTTCACACCAGTTCTATCCAGCCCTGACCCTCCATCTGTAAGACTACAATTCTATCAATCCTCTGCCCACTGGGAATTGTTGTCCCACAAACAGCTGGAGGGCTAGTATTGTGTTGTATTAAAGGTAGCTTACCATAAATAAAATGATATGATTCATAGCCCAGCCACCCATCTATTCAGTGAACCCCTTTAACTGCGTTACAATCACAGCTTTCATTCTCTGTACAGACTGTGAATATTACTTCTCACCTCACCCCCCTCTCAGGAACCCGGATTATTTAACAAGTGACATCATTTTGATGTAATCCCTTCCGTACTGTCTGTCAGACACGATACCATTACCATTATCTCTCTCCACATCCACACATCATATAAAGCTTCAATTACCCAAACCGTGGGCAGCATTCGCACACATCGCCCCAAAATCACAGCCGTTATCCTAATACACAATCCCATGTCTCTCGACCTCTTTCAGATCAGAGATAGAAAACTGAATGCAGAAAAAAGGCACAATGTAACAGGGTTACTCACTAAAGTGAGAATTTATCGTAAATTAGAAAATAATTTAACATTTCAGGATGAAAGGGTTGCTGGCTTGGAGATTTCTTCCAGAATTCTTTAGGCCTAATACCTTGGTGGCTATCCCTGCAGCTGTTCCCAGCTGTGGGCAGAATGTTAGGCAGGCATTGTCCTAATAAACCATTGTATCTATCACTAGCTCCCACACCATGCGCAGTGCACTCTGAGCTCATGTTATAGGAAGACTTACCACAGGCTTTTTAAAATGTTCTTTACCCAGGAACTGCAGGAAAGAGCGAGCATGTTACTGAATAATCAGACCTTTAATAAAAGCATTGATTCCTGACACTGGCGGCCATGCCAGCTCCTGCTTGGGGTTCAGTCATTCTAGTTTAAAGAGTCCATGATTACCCCATGGAATGCTGGGAGATAATCAGCAGAACTCACGAAAGCACAGTTTCTGATTGGTTCTCGGCATTACTGACAATTAGCAGACATTTTTATTGTTAAGAAGTCTTTGGGCCCCCCATACACAAAATTTTTAATATCTAACTAATCATGGGATATGTGGAGCTAGTTTTGCCCCATGAACCTCCCAGACAAACTTACTCTGCTCTAACAGAGATCCTGAGCTCAGCCATTCAATGCCGGTGTTCTATCAGTCTGCTATACTGATAGAACACCGGCTGTCACATTCTGGACAAAGGAAGGCCTATCGTCTGCTCTGTAATTGGATAACAGCACCAAGGGCGGAGTCAGTCTTTAAAGAGGTTATTGTTTCCCAAATAAGTGTATTTATAGGTAGTTATAGTATGTATCTATACGTTTATCTTTCGGTAGTTATAGTATGTATCTATAGGTAGTTATAGTATGTATCTATACGTTTATCTATCGGTATTTATAGTATGTATCTATAGGCAGTTATAGTATGTATCTATACGTTTATCTATCGGTATTTATAGTATGTATCTATAGGCAGTTATAGTATGTATCTATACGTTTATCTATCAGTATTTATAGTATGTATCTATAGGCAGTTATAGTATGTATCTATACGTTTATCTATCAGTATTTATAGTATCTATAGGCAGTTATAGTATGTATCTATACGTTTATCTATCAGTATTTATAGTATGTATCTATAGGCAGTTATAGTATGTATCTATACGTTTATCTATCAGTATTTATAGTATGTATCTATAGGCAGTTATAGTATGTATCTATACGTTTATCTATCGGTATCTATAATATGTGTCTATAGTTATATATAGTGTTATGTTCTATACGTCTCATTAGGTCAGGGGTTGATTAGATCAGGTTAAAAAGTCAGAACCAAAGAAATCAGAGGGGGGTGTCTAGCACCCCACCATCTTTAGCCATCATCGCTTACCACTGGTCTAAACCAAGGGGAGATAGATTTTGCCAGGTTTATCCTACCTGGGACATACCGTAGTCTTAGCTTCAGACATTTACTTAAGGGTGAAGTCATTTATTTGAAATATAGTTTGAAGCTGTTATAAACGTATTTCTAGTGGCAGATCCATTAATGAAGTAAAAAGTAATGCCTTGTGGTATCTTTACATTTTGTCAGTGGGAGGTAAGTAGTCGACATTTAGAATAATATTGGCAGAGATGGGGGAAGCAGTGGGTACATGGATTGTTTAAATATGGGTTTTGCTAGTTTTTAAAATTATTTTAGTTCTAATTTTAGTAAACTGAACATTAATATATCTAAAATCTGACACCAAGGGATTTTTCTTATTTTCTGATTATTAAGTAAGAAGTGAAATACCTCAACGTCTTTCATCAATAAAATGTCAATGTTACATTTCACAGCCTTATCCTTCAGTTCGTCTTCAAACGCCTCCATCAGGATGACTGTTGTGAGCCCAGGTGTTAGGCCTTTCTCGCAGTTGTCCAGCAGGATGCGAGCCTTGTCCGATTTGTCACAGATTACCACTGACAAGTCAGCTGCAAAACAGAGTCACCTTTTATTCTGTTTGCATAACTCAGATGGCTGGATCCCGATAAATCCACTGGAAGGATCCTGAGTGTGACTTACAGGTTTTTAATCAAAGTAGATCTCCCAACCGCTGACACTTTAATGAATAATCGTGGTAGATATAGTGGCTATCTACATATATAATTATATAACTGAATGTGTATAAATGTGCATCTGTACAAATGTGTGTGTGTGTGTGTATGAGAAGGAATGTGTTTGTATAAATGTGCATTTGTGTGTATAAGTGTGTTTTTAAATGTGAGTGTGTATGTATAAATGTGCATATATGTGTCTAAATGTGCATGTGTGTGTATGTATCAATATGGTTTTGTGTGTGTGTGTGTGTGTGTCCAAATGTGCATGCAGAAAATGTGCATGTGTGTGTATAAATGTGAGTGCGTGTGTATAAATGTGAGTGTGTATACTTGTGAATGTGTGTGTGTCTAAATGTGTGTGTGTGTTTAAATGTGTGTGTGTGTATGTGTATAAATGTGAGTGTGTTTAAATGTGAGTGTGTTTAAATGTGAATGTGTGTTTAAATGTGAATGTGTGTATGAATACATGTGTGTCTAAATGTATGTTTGTGTATGTGTATAAATGTTTGTGTGTTCTCACCTCTGTTAACAATATAAACAATGGCTTCTGCTCCCAGGGTGTCGTACAGCGGAACGATGGCCATGGAGTACGTATAACAAGCCAGCTCTGCTATGACAGCCTACACAAGACAGAACCAAGCGCTCAGAGAAAGGAGATTCAGAGATGCATTTCATTAATATCATCGTTTATACACCTTGCTCCCATTTTACCCATTAGAGAAACTATAGGGGGCATTTATTAAACTGCCGCCAACATTTGCGTCTAATTGTTCAGCACAGTTTATTAACTCTATAAGGTGCTGTTTTATTATCTGCCATTTTTTCAGTGACGCAGTGGATTTATCATTTTCCAATACTTTTTATGTCAGAAAAGAGTTCTGCAGTCTTCTGAAAAGAAGATTTTGTCAAAACCCGGCAGAACTTACTGTAAAGAAAATCTTCACTTTTTAGATCACTTTAACATGTACGGTCAAAATAATGTCAGAATTTTCAGAACTCTCTATCAGTAATTGCGTTAAACTGCAGTTAGTACTTTTATTCTATTTCGCTCTAATAAGGGTTTATTGAACACACATGATGAATTAGGTAAATCAGAATATCTACACTTTAAATCTCTCTGGGTCGCAGACTAAACCCATGGCACATGTTCCAACAATGCTGCTTATAAAATGAGGATTAACCTGTTGGTTGCCAGTCAGCTCAGTGAATTATTGGATACAGATTTACCTCTGGTCGATTCTGTGAGAAGATCCCAATAAACTGATCGGGTGAAGGCTTACATCCTTTCTGTAAAAGTCCAGATCCCAAATATTCAGCTCTGTCCGCTACCTGCAACGAATCAATAAAAGACCAAAATCAGAGCAGCAATACAACACTCCCATAATCAATAATCAATGCCAAAATCTGCCATTTATTAATGCTTTCCTATGGACTGATTGAATGCGTGCGCAAAGAGGGAGGAGACGTAGGAAGAGGGAGGAGAGTCCCCAGCGCCGAGGGAGCCCGGTGCTGGAGAAAGGTAAGAATTTAACCCCTTCCTCCCCCTTCAGCCCGGCGAGAGTTCTGAGCTATCAACTGCTACATTCTGGGCTATCAACTGTTACATTATGAGCTATCAACTGCTACATTCTGAGCTATCAACTGCTACATTCTGGGCTATCAACTGCTACATTCTGAGCTATCAACTGCTACATTCTCAGCTATCAACTGCTACATTCTGAGCTATCAACTGTTACATTCTGAGCTATCAACTGCTACATTCTGAGCTATCAACTGTTACATTATGAGCTATCAACTGCTACATTCTGAGCTATCAACTGCTACATTCTGAGCTATCAACTGTTACATTATGAGCTATCAACTGCTACATTCTGAGCTTAATAACTGCTAAGCATTCTGGAGCACAATCACAGACTTGGGGTTATCAACTGCTAGCTATATATTCTGAGCTATCAACTGCTGCTATATCTGAGCTATCAACTGCTAAGCATTCTGAGCTATCAACTGCTACATTCTGCTTAATAACTGTTATATTTAAGCATTAACTGTTGCGACTTGAGCTATCAATCGCTACATTCTGAGCTATCAACTGCTACATTCTCAGCTATCAACTGCTACATTCTGAGCTATCAACTGCTACATTCTCAGCTATCAACTGTTACATTCTGGGCTATCAACTGCTACATTCTGAGCTATCAACTGCTACATTCTGAGCTATCAACTGTTACATTCTGAGCTATCAACTGCTACATTCTCAGCTATCAACTGTTACATTCTGAGCTATCAACTGTTACATTCTGAGCTATCAACTGCTACATTCTCAGCTATCAACTGTTACATTCTGAGCTATCAACTGCTACATTCTCAGCTATCAACTGTTACATTCTGAGCTATCAACTGCTACATTCTGAGCTATCAACTGTTACATTCTGAGCTATCAACTGCTACATTCTGAGCTATCAACTGTTACATTCTGAGCTATCAACTGTTACATTATGAGCTATCAACTGCTACATTCTGAGCTATCAACTTCTACATTCTCCTGGAGCTATCAACTGCTAAGCATTCTGAGCTATCAACTGTTACATTATGAGCTATCAACTGCTACATTCTGAGCTATCAACTGCTACATTCTGAGCTATCAACTGTTACATTATGAGCTATCAACTGCTACATTCTGAGCTATCAACTGCTACATTCTGAGCTATCAACTGTTACATTCTGAGCTATCAACTGCTACATTCTCAGCTATCAACTGTTACATTCTGAGCTATCAACTGCTACATTCTGAGCTATCAACTGTTACATTCTGAGCTATCAACTGCTACATTATGAGCTATCAACTGCTACATTCTGAGCTATCAACTGCTACATTCTGAGCTATCAACTGCTATATTCTGAGCTATCAACTGCTACATTCTGGGCTATCAACTGTTACATTATGAGCTATCAACTGCTACATTCTGAGCTATCAACTGTTACATTATGAGCTATCAACTGCTACATTCTGAGCTATCAACTGCTACATTCTGAGCTATCAACTGTTACATTATGAGCTATCAACTGCTACATTCTGAGCTATCAACTGTTACATTCTGAGCTATCAACTGCTACATTCTGAGCTATCAACTGCTACATTCTGAGCTATCAACTGCTACATTCTGGGCTATCAACTGCTACATTCTGAGCTATCAACTGCTACATTCTCAGCTATCAACTCTTACATTCTGAGCTATCAACTGCTACATTCTGAGCTATCAACTGCTACATTCTGGGCTATCAACTGCTACATTATGAGCTATCAACTGCTACATTCTCAGCTATCAACTGTTACATTCTGGGCTATCAACTGCTACATTCTCAGCTATCAACTGTTACATTATGAGCTATCAACTGCTACATTCTGAGCTATCAACTGCTACATTATGAGCTATCAACTGCTAAGCATTCTCAGCACACCGTTACATCTAAGCACAATAACTGCTACATTATGAGCTATCAACTGCCAAGCATTTCAGCTAATAACTGTTACATTATATGAGCTATCAACTGCTACATTCTGAGCTTAATAACTGTTACATTATGAGCTATCAACTGCTAAGCATTCTGAGCTATCAACTGTTACATTATGAGCTAATAACTGCTACATTATGAGCTATCAACTGCTACATTCTCAGCTATCAACTGTTACATTATGAGCTATCAACTGCTACATTCTGAGCTATCAACTGTTACATTATGAGCTATCAACTGCTACATTCTGAGCTATCAACTGTTACATTATGAGCTATCAACTGTTAAGCATTATGAGCTATCAACTGCTGCTATTCTGAAAGCTATCAACTGCTAAGTATTCTCAGCACAACTGTTGGCATTATGAGCTATCAACGTTGCTACATTCTGGATATCAACTGCTAAGCATTCTGGGCTATCAACTGCTACATTCTGAGCTATCAACTGTTACAGCATTATGAGTTATCAACTGCTACATTCTTGAGCTATCAACTGCCAAGCATTCTGCTATCAACTGTTACATTATGAGCTATCAACTGCTGTTCTGAGCTAATAACTGTTGCATTATGAGCTAATAACTGCCAAGCATTCTGAGCTTAATAACTGCTACATTCTGAGCTATCAACTGTTACATTATGAGCTAATAACCGCTACATTCTGAGCTATCAACTGTTACATTCTGAGCTATCAATCCGCATTCTGAGCTATCAACTGCTACATTCTGAGCTATCAACTGTTACATTATGAGCTATCAACTGCTACATTCTGAGCTATCAACTGCTACATTCTCAGCTATCAACTGTTACATTATGAGCTATCAACTGCTACATTCTGGATATCAACTGCTACATTCTGGGCTATCAACTGCTACATTCTGAGCTATCAACTGTTACATTATGAGCTATCAACTGCTACATTCTGAGCTATCAACTGCTACATTCTGGGCTATCAACTGTTACATTATGAGCTATCAACTGCTACATTCTGAGCTATCAACTGTTACATTATGAGCTATCAACTGCTACATTCTGAGCTATCAACTGCTACATTCTGAGCTATCAACTGCTACATTCTGAGCTATCAACTGCTACATTCTGAGCTATCAACTGTTACATTATGAGCTATCAACTGCTACATTCTGAGCTATCAACTGCTACATTCTGAGCTATCAACTGTTACATTATGAGCTATCAACTGCTACATTCTGAGCTATCAACTGTTACATTATGAGCTATCAACTGCTACATTCTGAGCTATCAACTGCTACATTCTGAGCTATCAACTGTTACATTATGAGCTATCAACTGCTACATTCTGAGCTATCAACTGCTACATTCTGAGCTATCAACTGTTACATTATGAGCTATCAACTGCTACATTCTGAGCTATCAACTGCTACATTCTCAGCTATCAACTGTTACATTATGAGCTATCAACTGCTACATTCTGGGCTATCAACTGCTACATTCTGGGCTATCAACTGCTACATTCTGAGCTATCAACTGTTACATTATGAGCTATCAACTGCTACATTCTGAGCTATCAACTGCTACATTCTGAGCTATCAACTGTTACATTATGAGCTATCAACTGCTACATTCTGAGCTCTGAGCTATCAACTGTTACATTCTGAGCTATCAACTGCTACATTCTGGGCTATCAACTGCTACATTCTCAGCTATCAACTGTTACATTATGAGCTATCAACTGCTACATTCTCAGATATCAACTGTTACATTATGAGCTATCAACTGCTACATTCTGAGCTATCAACTGTTACATTCTGAGCTATCAACTGCTACATTCTCAGCTATCAACTGTTACATTATGAGCTATCAACTGTTATATTATGAGCTATCAACTGCTACATTCTGAGCTATCAACTGCTACATTCTCAGCTATCAACTGCTACATTCTGGGCTATCAACTGCTACATTCTCAGCTATCAACTGTTACATTATGAGCTATCAACTGCTACATTCTCAGCTATCAACTGCTACATTCTGGGCTATCAACTGCTACATTCTCAGCTATCAACTGTTACATTATGAGCTATCAACTGCTACATTCTCAGATATCAACTGTTACATTATGAGCTATCAACTGCTACATTCTGAGCTATCAACTGTTACATTCTGAGCTATCAACTGCTACATTCTGGGCTATCAACTGCTACATTCTGAGCTATCAACTGCTACATTCTGGGCTATCAACTGCTACATTCTGGGCTATCAACTCCTACATTCTGAGCTATAAACTGTTACATTCTGGGCTATCAACTGCTACATTCTGGGCTATCAACTGCTACATTCTGGGCTATCAACTCCTACATTCTGAGCTATCAACTGTTACATTCTGGGCTATCAACTGCTACATTCTGGGCTATCAACTGCTACATTCTGGTATGAAAAGCACCAACTGGAATTTTATCATCGAATCAGTGAAAATCTGCTATTTACCCTGATACCCCCGAGTTTCACTGCATTGTTTTCTCACATTTGTTATTGTTTAATGGATTGTTGAATATGTTACAGTTATTTAATATGTGAACTGCATTAATTTGTTTGGACCTACCTGTCTGTAAGTCATCCATTCGTAAGGTTGGTTCGGTCTCCTCCAGCCCAAACAGTTGCCATTTCCTGTAAATAGAACAAAACACAATTAGACAAAACAGAAATCTGACACAAAGGGCAAAACGATTGAATGAAAAGCAGGTTAATTCTCCAGAGTTGTCGATTAAATAAGAACCCGGCTTTGGGCAGTGTTTTCCCATTTAGTATGTTCGATGAGATGACTTGGCCTATAGGGTCCTAGATTCACTCAGAGCAGAACATCCGTATATGAGCTAAAACTGAACGCATGATATTTACTAATTATAACCCAAAAAGGCAAAACTGATTTCAATGGCAGCTAAAAACAATTTCTGTTAAAGTCTGAATTCCATGCAAAGTCCAGGAAGCAGCTTTATCTAACCTGCCTCCGGCTGATTTTCCCTGGATTTCGAAATATTGTGAAAAGGCAGAGATTGGCCCCCTTACCGGAAACACGGATCCCTCTCATGAAGATTTCATATAAGGTTTTACCGTCTTCATAATAATAAGACATGAGTTTGTCATCCTTCAGCAAAGCACATCTTCGCGCACCGCCCTGTGTGGGAAATAATGGAGATTTGTTTAAAACTTTAATTAGCAAAAATATTTCCTGGAATAAAACAAAACTATTAGAATGTTTTTTAGTTAATAAATGATGGCGTTTAGATTCTGGGTGATTAATGTATATCTAAGGTCCCAACATTGGAATCTAAATGTAAAAACAGGACAATAAAAGAATACATAATAGTACTGTTAGTACTATATTTGGTGGATATTATATTTGGCGGACATTATATTTGGTGGATATTATATTTGGGGAATATTATATTTCGATTATATTATATTTGGTGGATATTATATTTGGGGGATATTATATTTGGTGGATATTATATTTGGCGGACATTATATTTGGGGGATATTATATTTGGGGAATATTATATTTCGATTATATTATATTTGGTGGATATTATATTTGGCGGACATTATATTTGGTGGATATTATATTTGGGGAATATTATATTTCCATTATATTATATTTGGTGGATATTATATTTGGCGGACATTATATTTGGGGGATATTATATTTCGATGATATATTTGGTGGATATTATATTTGGTGGACATTATATTTGGGGGATATTATATTTCGATGATATTATATTTGGTGGATATTATATTTGGCGGACATTATATTTGGGGAACATTATATTTGGGGGATATTATATTTCGATGATATTATATTTGGTGGATATTATATTTGACGGACATTATATTTTGCAAACATTATATTTGGTGGACATTATATTTCGATGATATTATATTTGGTGGACATTATATTTGGCAGACATTATATTTCGATGATATTATATTTGGTGGACATTATATTTGGCAGACATTATATTTCGATGACATTATATTTGGTGGACATTATATTTGGCAGACATTATATTTCGATGAAATTATATTTGGTGGATATTATATTTGGTGGACATTATATTTGGGGGACATTATATTTAGCGGACATTATATTTGGTAGATATATTTGGTGGATATTACATTTGGTGGATATTATATTTCGATGATATTATATTTCGATGATATTATATTTGGTGGACATTATATTTGGCAGACATTATATTTCGATGATATTATATTTGGTGGATATTATATTTGGTGGACATTATATTTGGCGGATGTTGTATTTGGTGGATATTACATTTGGATGATATTATATTTGGCAGACATTATATTTGGCGGACATTATATTTGGAGGATATTATATTTGGGGGATATTATATTTGGGTGATATTATATTTGGCGGACATTATATTTGGAGGACATTATATTTGGCAGACATTATATTTGGAGGATATTATATTTGGGGGATATTATATTTGGGTGATATTATATTCGGCGGACATTATATTTGGTGGATATTATATTTGGCAGACATTATATTTGGAGGACATTATATTTGGCAGACATTATATTTGGTGGATATTATATTTGGTGAACATTATATTTGGTGGACATTATATTTGGAGGACATTATATTTGGTGGATATTATATTTGGTGGATATTATATTTGGTGAACATTATATTTGGTGGACATTATATTTGGCGGACATTATATTTGGAGGACATTATATTTGGCAGACATTATATTTGGAGGATATTATATTTGGGGGATATTATATTTGGGTGATATTATATTTGGCGGACATTATATTTGGTGGATATTATATTTGGTGAACATTATATTTGGTGGACATTATATTTGGAGGACATTATATTTGGTGGATATTATATTTGGTGGATATTATATTTGGTGAACATTATATTTGGTGAACATTATATTTGGAGGACATTATATTTGGTGGATATTATATTTGGATGATATTATATTTGGTGGACATTATATTTGGTGGATATTATATTTGGTGGATATTATATTTGGAGGACATTATATTTGGTGGATATTATATTTGGATGATATTATATTTGGTGGACATTATATTTGGTGGATATTATATTTGGTGGATATTATATTTGGCAGACATTATATTTGGAGGACATTATATTTGGTGGATATTATATTTGGATGATATTATATTTGGTGGACATTATATTTGGTGGATATTATATTTGGATGATATTATATTTGGTGGACATTATATTTGGTGGATATTATATTTGGATGATATTATATTTGGTGGACATTATATTTGGTGGATATTATATTTGGTGAACATTATATTTGGTGGACATTATATTTGGAGGACATTATATTTGGCAGACATTATATTTGGTGGATATTATATTTGGTGAACATTATATTTGGCAGACATTATATTTGGAGGACATTATATTTGGATGATATTATATTTGGTGGACATTATATTTGGCAGACATTATATTTGGTGGATATTATATTTGGTGGATATTATATTTGGGGGACATTATATTTGGTGGATATTATATTTGGTGGATATTATATTTGGCGGACATTACATTTGGATAATATTATATTTGGCAGATATTGTATTTGGTGGATATTACATTTGGATGATATTATATGTCTACATGTGTGATGTCACTTAATGCACTATCTATAATAGTTTTTTAAAGTGTGTCTTAGCTAAAGAAATGTTCTGAAGTAATAAACATGCAGTTTTGGCGTTACCTGAGTTCCGACAGACTGTTTGTTCAGGTCGATGGGCGGAAAGACTGGTTTTGGTTTTGTCAGGACATAGATGAAAGCGGAGATCCCCACGGTGATCAGGGCAACAATGAATGGAGTGGAGAGAGGGGTAAAGAGAAAGCTCAGGCAGCAGCACATCTCACTAAATCTGATACAAAAAGAGACAATGTGAGACAATGTACCGGAACCAGCTTGGATGGAGATCAGCTCACCCCAAATTCTCATCACCTGCAAAACTCATCGCTTTAAATAACCTCACAGATCCTCCCAATATCCCCAGTCCCATTATATCCACAATGCAGACAGTTTGTATGGTTTGCTGCATCTTTTTTTTTTTTTTGACATTCTTTTTTTTTTATTTTTCATTTTTGTAATACAATACAATTACTACCTTTATAAAGGCCATGAAGGTAGGACATTTAGATTCCCCGTTCTCAGATAGTACAGCGAGTTGAGATTATCTTAACATAGAAATATAACCGTAACTGTAACAGCAAGGATCCAACTTGGCAACAAAAGTGGCCACATTCCTAATACCTCAAAGGGACTCAAGAGATATATGCGAAAAGCTGGTTGTGGGAGGCGCAGTTATCCCTTATACATCGTTAAGCGGGGGTTCGTATCTATCTCTATCGTCTACTGCTCTGCCCCTGAGGGCCAATTGGTGAGCCAGCCCATGACCCTAATCCCCAGTAGTCCCCCCCCCAACCTCAAGCCTGGTGAAGTGGTTTGCATGAGATATATGTTAGCTGCAGGGTGTCCTCTGGCTAATCTGCACCCCCTCCTGTCCCCTACCAGTATAGGCTGGAAACCCCTAGGGATCAAACCGGGCAGCTTTTGCCTGGGTAATCCGATGGGCTCAGTTCGAACCAAAAGCGTTTAACCGAGAATGTTGGAAGAATACCTCCCTGTCCCCAGGGAGCCGTTGTTGACCTCCTGCCCTCTGGCTGAATCCCCTCATTAATGTGCGCCTCCCAGCCACCCTAACGAGGTTCAACAGCCCTGTAATCCCCTCTCCTCCCAGTGCCTACACAGGCCTACTGCCCGCCTTTGCCTTGTGTCCCCCCCCTAGCTCCCCAAATTTCCCACATGCCTGGTTAGTGGATTGATGAGTTTATAAGCCTATACCCGTGTAGTCGCCCCAGTTTACCGTCCGTCTGGATATCGGGATGGGGAAAGGAGGGGATTAGTCATAGCTGTGTGGTTAGGGAAGTGCAGCCCCCATGTTGGTCAGGACTACGTGTATCTGTCAGTCTGTTGGGGGAGGAAGAAGTTGTGCCAGTGCAGGGGCGCCACCACCCCCCAATCGGGCATCCCCAGCGGCCCCCCTCGCCGTGTACTCCATCCATGGAAACCATGTTAGAGCACATTTATCCAAGTGTCACTGCAGAGACTCTGTCAGCATTTCCATGTTGTAGATCATTTCCACTCTGTCTACTCATTGGCGAAAGGTAGGGGCTGTCGGATTTCTCCACAGCGTGGGGATAAGCGATTTTGCTTCCATGAGTAGCTGTATAACGAGGCCCTTTTTGTAGATGGTCATTGGCATGCTTGTGTGATTCAGCAGCATCGGCAACGGCTGGAAAGGGATGTCTATCCCCGTTACGTCTTTAATTGCTTGGTGTATCTCTCACCAGAAAGGCTCAATGCGTGTGCATGCCCACCATATATTGATCCCGGTACCATCCGCGGCTCCACACCTCCAGCACTCACCAGAGATGGACTCGTGGACGTGACGAAGGATGTCCGGGGTTCTATGCCAACACGACAATATCTTATAATTGCATTCCTGAAACTTTGAGCTAATGGTCCCCTTGTGCGTCAATTGGAAGATTTTTTGCCACTCTGTTTCAGATAGCTCGACCCCTGTTTCCCTTTCCCACTGTACCGTGAAGCCTAAAGGGCTTTGGTCCCCGCAGTTTTGCAGCGTGGAATATAGGTGCGATATGCCGTGGGTAAGATGCTGTCTGGCTACGCAGAGTTGTTCGAAGTGGGACAGTGTGCGGTGAAGGTGAGCCTTACCAGCGAGAGAGGCTACATAAGTTGTGGGCTGGTAGTAGCGATATTTGTCAAGGGCGCTTGGTTCGCGGTCTTGGAGTAGAACGGCCAGTGGCTGGTCCATTGCACCACTGGTGCAGTAAGATCCAATCCGCGGCCCCAAAGGACTTCAAGTCTCCCGGGGAAAGTCCCGCCGCTAATCTTGGGTTATGTGTCACGGGCGTAAGCGGATTCGGCGACGACGTACGTTTTTGGGAGTAACGAATGCTACACCACACTTTCAATGTAGCGTCTATCAACGGGTTGCCTGTTTGCAGCTCCTGGAATGTGGCATCACCCAGCCACAGTTGGGCAGGGATTTTGCCTCCCCTAGCCTGTTGCTTTTCCATATCTACCCACTGTTTTCCGCCCAGGGCTGCATGAAAGTCCACTAGCCGGTATAGGTGTGATGCCCGGTAGTAAGTAAGGACTGAAGGTAATCCCATACCTCCCTTGCTTCGAGGACGTTCCAAAATCACTTGCCGTACTCGAACGGGTTTCTGGTTCCACACAAACTGCCTAAAGGAGGACGACAGTGTCTGGAAGAAACTCCGTGGAATATTGACCGGAAGCGTCTGGAACAGGTAGAGTATGCGGGGCATAAGGTTTGCTGCATCTTTTATTATTTGGGTATTTCCATGTCCGTTAACCTCACGCACGGTGCTAGAGGCACAGTTTGTGTGTCGCCCCTCGTACCACTCCTGCACCCAAATAAAGCTGGTGGATTCAGAGCCCCCACATTTATATATTGGAATTATTTATTGATTATGTATTGATTGGATTATAAAAGAGATAGATAGATAGACAGACAGACAGATAGATAGACAGACCTATAGATAGATAGATTGACAGACAGACAGATAGATAGATAGATAGATAGATAAATAGATAAATAGATAGACAGACAGACAGAGAGATAGATAGATAAACATATAGATAGATAGATAGACAGACAGATAGATAGATAGATAGATAGATAGATAGATAGATAGATAGATAGATAGATAGACAGACCGACAGACAGATAGATAGACAGACCTATAGATAGATAGACAGATAGACAGACAGACAGACAGATAGATATTTACATCAATGTTTTACTCTTTAACCCCCACGGATTTAGATAATAATTAATCACAGAATAGATAGACAGACCTATAGATAGATAGATTGATAGACAGACAGACAGATAGATAGACATATAGATAGATAGATAGATAGATAGATAGATAGATAGATAGATAGATAAATAGATAGATAGATAGATAGATAGACAGACAGACAGATAGCTAGATAGATAGACAGACAGACAGATAGACAGATAGATAGATAGACAGACCGACAGACAGATAGATAGACAGACCTATAGATAGATAGACAGATAGACAGACAGACAGACAGATAGATATTTACATCAATGTTTTACTCTTTAACCCCCATGGATTTAGATAATAATTAATCACAGAATCTTTCCTGCTCTGGAAAATAGTAATTTCATCCCCCAATTACCTGTTTAATTGAAGTCATGTTTGTGACCCGCTGCATGTACGGACCCGCTCAACCCGCTTAAATCTAAACTCAGTGAAGGTGTAAACACAATGTGTCACAGCGCAATTAATTTAATGAAGGTTTTGGAAGAAAACTTTGTTCATGGAGTAATCAGCACAAACTGGGCTATTAAAGGAGCCTGAACACATTTATAGATATATTAATTATATATTAATGCTCTATTAATAAAATAAAAAAATATAATAAAATAAAATATGGGGGGAAAAACTATTGAAGAATATATGAGGTGACACACTATTTTGAATGTATATATTTGTGGAGAATATCTTAAAAATAGAAAATGTTCAGTGTGAGGTAGTTGCATGACAACCTTCACTGAATCGAAATCACCAGGGAGACTCTCCAGTAGTGTCTCAGGGCTTAACCCCTAAATATAAAGTAGAAATAAACTATAAACTCACTCATAAGAAACATTGTGTGCAGGTCTTATCTGGGGAAATAAACAGTATGTAGATAAACGCCTTTTACCAAATGATAATTAAATCCAAAGACCAATAGGCTGAGCCTCTGGCTGGTAAATGGAACCTCGTTGCATAACACCAACTACCTCTATCCTCTCTGGCTTTATTAGTTCGTGACAATATTAGGGGACTGGATAAAAATAAAGAATACAAATTCTAGGTAGTATTCTGTATATGGATTGATATAGCACAAAGCTCTACACTTTTGCAAGGGGAAGGGAGTGGGGGCTGGGGGGAGATAAATTATCCACTTTTATATCTCTATAAAGATATCTCCAATATATGGAGACTTGGTGAGGATTGGTGAAATTTCTCATGGATGAAGGTATGGATTCAACAGTTGAGTACCAAAATTCACCAGCCTGTAATATATCATCCTTAGTATAGACAGAAAAAGATAGGTTTGGATAAAGCCTCCCTCCCTTTTAAATCTTGCTAAATAGTAAGAGGAATGAAAATTAAGTGTTAAATAATAGAAATCATGCTTAAAAAAAGGTTTGTTTGGTTTAGATCACCATTGTGAATATAGTGAGTAGTGCTCTGTGAAAATTCGAATGCCCCTAGTCAATATCTTCTTGTGAGTGATTGTTATAGTTTATATCTGGAGAATATCTTAGTATCGCAAGGGGAAGAATTTCCCATCTATATATATTTACCAGTGTCCCCCCAAATTGCTGTCATTGACCCCCCACTCTTTGCATTTTGTTACCCACAATTCTTATCTCTGGTAGTTTGTGGTGGCCAGATTCGGGGTATAACTGAGAATGTAGGAGAACAGGTCCTATTTCCTAATTTCATTAATATCTGGTGCAGCTTTTCTAAATATTTATTAACTTTATCTGCAAGTAGCATCAGTATGTAAGCAGCTATTATTATTCCCTCCACGCCATTTCTTGTTAACTGGCAGTAATAATAAAATAATAGTGTATGTGTTTATAATACTCTCTATCCTGCCGCCTGTTGTATAATATTAATTAGCCGCCTACGTAGGTGACCAGTCCGATGTAGTAACTGTGTGATGGCAGTCTGTGGCAATCCTTTAAATGAGCTGCAGTCAGAGGTCAGAGTGTAACGCAGACCGTACCCTTGGCAATATAGGTGAAAGGACAGGGCCAAGACCTGACAGATTGAACCAGCTGATACGTCTTTCTGTGTGAAATTGCAATTCGTTACATTGTGTTTATGTCATCAGGAAAAAGGGACAAAGGCTTTCTCTTATCAGACATTGCTCCGTCTTCTGGACGGCCTTCAATCATTCCAGGCTGATTAACTTTACCTTTAAACCCAAATAGTAGGTTTTATTAAACCATTATCAGCGTATCCTAATAACATGAAATATTTCCGTGTTATAAATACTGTAGTTTACTCGTTGGCTGGATTCCTTGCTGTTACCTTTACTGTCTCTATAACGGGGTGTACATCTATACACTGTCACTGTGACTGCTCCCACGTTATTATATATATAAGCTATGTAGGTGATGCACAACAGTAATTTGTCCATCTGCATTGTGAGAGTTTGAACTATTTGGCATCTCGCTACAAACTCATTGAGAGACCTCAGCTTCCAGACCAGAACCAGTGCCATGATGATGACACCCACAAGGTTGAAACTGCAGTCTCTGGCTGGTTTCTGGTTTATAGCTCAGTTCGGATCATAGCCAGTGTTTAAAATGATGTCCATTGCTACGAGTATCCATAAGAAACGCAGTGTGAAGTCTCAAAAAACAATGCCTGTCTGAGCTCATTTGCATATCAAGCTGGGAATTCTGGGATAGTTGTGAAAAATTGGTTTATCTTCATTACTGTGCCCAAGGGAGACTTTCCAAAGTCCATCTTGAGATATACAGGAGATGCACAGCATTTCTATATATTCACACTGTATCAGTTATGGAGATTGTAAAGGTAATGGATAATGAGATAATAAGGTAACATATATATAATATATAGGAGATAGATAGACAGACAGACATACTGGATCACTTATGGAGATATATATATAATATGTGGTTCCCATTAACAATAACCACTAATTGGTCTTCATTGATCTGAATGACAATATCTGTATATAAATTATATTTACATTCACTATTCTGCTTATGGAGAGAACATATTTAATTTAAAAAAAAGATAAATATTCAGGGTGGATCACTAATGTGGGAAATAGGATTCCAAGTTTTAGTTTTAGTGTTTTTCAGATTCGCCTGTTTTGCCCTAAAATTTGAAATTAATTTTGAATACTTGACAAATCCCACGTTAGTGACTACCTCAGTAATTTGTAATTATTAAAAACGGACCATTTTCCCAGACAGTAGGACAGAAATAACACTAATTATACAGACAACAATCCCCAGAACACTTGGCTTCATTTTTTTAATACTAGTTTCGTTTGTTTTGTCCAAAATGCTAAAAAGCGTATTACTAACCCATCTTCACTGAGAAGATCTCTAATTCCAGGATGCCAAAAAATATAAATAAAAATCAGTTTACGCCGGTCGCAGGAAGATCCCAACCACCGCTGTCCACTAAGGAATGTTCTAAATTCACATAGAATTAACCGGGAGATGTAAAATGTGTGTTTTGGTGAATTATTGCAGTTTGGCTAATTTGAGCCATGTTTTGCAATTTGTTATTTCGTGTTTAATGAATTAATACTCAGTGTATTAAACTAATTGTTTATGGGGTGTAAGATAGCAGTGATCACTGTGCCTGACGCACCAACCTTTATAAAGGTGAGATAATACGGTATCCATAGCAACTTCATATGTTTTAATGTCATGGTTACCTATCTACCAAGCATGCAGAGCTGCATTACCTGCTGCAAGTGACAAAGCATCCACGGAAAAGTCAAAACAGGGCAAAATATAAATGATTTCATGGTATCGTGGGGTGCACCAGGAGGGAGCAGCCCCTACAGCTTCTCATGAGCAAGTGCCTTATTGCAGCCCTGCACTCTCTTCTCCCTCTCTTTTCCAGTCTGCACTCTCTACCAGACCAGCTCTCTCTTTCATTCTGCCCTCTCTACCAGAACAGCTCTCTCTACCAGACCAACTCTCTCTTCCAATCTGCTCTCTCTACCAGACTAGCACTCTCTACCAGACCAGCTCTCTCTTCCAGTCTGCGCTCTCTACCAGAACAGCTCTCTCTACCAGACCAGCTCTCTTCCAATCTGCTCTCTCTACCAGACCCGCACTCTCTTCCACACCAGCTCTCTCTGTAATCAGAGTATAGAGTAGTTGTGTCTGTAAATGTGAATTCAGATTGAATCCTAAATGTATTCTTATAATAATAATAATCTAATGACACAAACTGTAACAGAAAATTCTGTAATATACTTGTCACTAGGAATATCTGTGGTCTTTCACCATGCACACTTCTTGTGATATTCCTGTCTCACTATACTGCTTGCACACTTCTTGTGATATTCCTGTCTCACTATACTGCTTGCACACTTCTTGTGATATTCATGTTTCACCCTGCTGCTAGCACACTTCTTGTGATGTTTTCTGTTTCACTATACTGCTTGCACACTTCTTATGATATTCCTGTTTCACTATACTGCCTGCACACTTCTTGTGATATTCCTGTCGCACTATACTGCTTGCACACTTCTTGTGATGTTTCCTGTTTCAATATACTGCCTGCACACTTCTTGTGATATTCCTGTCGCACTATACTGCTTGCACACTTCTTGTGATATTCCTGTTTCACTATACTGCTTGCACACTTCTTGTGATATTCCTGTTTCACTATACGGCTTGCACACTTCTTGTGATATTCCTGTTTCACTATACTGCTTGCACACTTCTTGTGATATTCCTGTCGCACTATACTGCTTGCACAATTCTTGTGATATTCCTGTTTCACCATAGTGCTTGCTCACCTGGAGCCAAAGTAAACCTGCTCTGCATCCGAGCTCTGCCTGATAACGGCTATTTATATATACTTAAGCCTGAGCCAATTCCATCCATGTCAGCCCAGCCCAACCAATCCAACCCTGCGGCCAATTCTCACTTATCCCTTACCTTGTGTTCCCCACACAGCCCTGAGCCACACAGAGACTGTCAGGCCTGCTCTCCACGGCAAACTGTACCGTCCCTACCTGTACACCTCCAATAAAAGGCTCACATTGCACTTAGAAAATAATCTTTGAACCTTACTTGCTACAGGTTCAAAGGTAGAAATGTCTGTTTAAATACATCGAATGCACTTTACCTGCCTGGGGAATATGTCCAGTAAAAGGTTAAACACAAGATGCTTGCGTAATTGTTTGATAAAGCAGCCAGACACTTTGTACAGGTATATTACAACATTTTAAATCCGATTACTGGCATCGCCATGAAAACGACAGTTTGATAACATCAATAATGTGCTTAAAGACCAGTTTATAAAAGTATAAGACCCAGTGTTCTACCCTAACTTCTTCTCTACAAAGCTCATATGTAATATCCCCTTCCTGCGTTATACAAGGGGACCACCCTGCCCAGTAACACTCCACTACCCTCTCCCCTTACCCCACCTCAAAAAATGTATCTTTATTTAGTAGGTATATTCCCAATGAAAACATTCTCGCATTTAATTATTTTCATTGGGGATATATCTATTAACTGCAGCCTTTGCAAGCCCTCCTCTTCTAACCCCGCCAAGACTTTCTGTGGCTGTCCAATCACAGACTTCCCAATGCAGCAAAATGAGACGTCTTTCCAAAGCAGGTGCTCTGGGCAATTGCTGCCTCTTGAGTTTAGCTCCACTGAGCTAACCAAACCAGGAAGTAACAGGACTGGTTGTATGATTGACAGCCAGTGGGGTGTAACAAGTTTAATTTATAAAAGTGACACTTTCTATTGCGATCTGCACTAAAGCGCTCTGCACTCTCTTTATAAATAAAGCACTTCAGCAAACCAAACTACTTTAGAGGTCTGGATTGTCGCTGTAAGTAATACACACATTGTGGTATTTTGGCATCCTTAATGTGTGTCTGTCGTGCCAAACATGTCGCTGTGAGACCACCAGTGCAAAACAAAACATTACATGGTAAAGGAACACTTTAAACACCATAACCACTACAACTCTGCCCCATGGAAGTAGACAAACCTTTTTAGAACAGTGTGACTTCGCACTTGGGGTCCCTGGGCGCCACTCCCTGCCTGCACTACTAATGACGGAGAGCTGGAATCTCTGTGTCTGACCTAAGCGATGCAAGATTCAGCTTGTTTGCTTGTAATGATCAGCTGATTAATAGCTTCTGGCTCTCCATTGGTAGTGGAGGCGAGGAGCAAAGTCCAGCAGACTGCAGGTAAGAAGTCAACCTACAGCAAGCTGGAGTGGTTATGGTTGTTGTTTTTGCAATTTAGCAATATAGTAAAACATAGTTATTAATGAGTTGTACATTTTATAACACAAATTTATTTAAAAAATTAGAGGTAGACTTCTTTAACAGTACTTTGCGTTTTGTTTTTTTAACACGCTATTTTGTGTCAGTGATGTCGTAGACGGCCATCTTTATTCGCCATATTGATTTTGGAGGTCAAGGTGCAAATAAAGAAAAAATAAAGCAGATTTTTCAATATATCCATAAAATCTTCAACAATTTTTTACATTTGTGGCTGCGAGTCTGTGCCCTGTATGTAGGGAATAAAATATCATTCATACACTTTCAGCCAAACTGCTAGCGAATGTATACAATTCTCTGAATTCTAACTCAGTCTTCATCATAGCGATAAAAACCATAGATAGCAAGACGCAGCAAGTCCCAAATCCAAGTCATGCAATACACCAATTATTATGTACACCTTCCTTTGGAATTGTGGGGTGCCATGCATTTTATTTGGGGGCAGGGTTGACGAGTGTGAAGCAATCGCCCCGTAAAGTAGTTAATTTATATATTTTTACAGATTTTCCCAGCCTAGCGTACAGACTCTGTATATACTAACCTGCAGTGGGAAAGTTTTGAATTGTTTTATTTAAATGATTTGCGCACTACCATAACTCAATAAAGCCCAGTCTACGCTTCAGCGGTGTCTGCACGGAATTTGTTTAATGTTGCGATTTTGTTCTTATTGAGATAAAACTGCTCTTTGGAAGATATTTGTATTTGATTCCAAAGGTGCAGAGTTAAAGTCTGTGAGATAAAATCACTACTTGTAACTTGTATCAGGAGAAATCTGCAACTGAAAGACGGTTTGGAAATACTGGGGACGGAGTAAGTGAATTATAATAATTCTCCTGTGGGGGAGGGACAACGTGTTATTGGTGTAACTCTGATTTAAAGGATATTTATATTTAACCATGGAAATTAGTAGTTAATAGTTTGTGCAGGATGAAGGGAGAATTGTTTGCATTACCTTGACTCCTGTATGTAAATAAAAATCGTAAGTTTATTCATTGAATGTTCACATGCAGCCTGGAGAATTGGAACAAAACACAGCTTATAATGGGTCAGTCCTTCGTTTCACTGTGATGCTGGTTGTTAGGCTGCAGGGCTGCCATCAGGGGGTGACAACCATGACGGTTGTCATGGGACCTGGGCCCCATGTGTTGTGCCAGCACACTAATGGGGCCCATCGTGTGTCCCAAGCATCTAGGGCCACCCGATGGGCCCTAAATCTTCAGGGGCCGGTCAGCGCTGCGGCTGTGTAATAGCGCGACCGAGCCCCTTTTAAAAAAATGCAACTGCACCGCAAGTAGTGCTGGGAGGAAGTGACAGCCGGTCACTTCCTCCCAGCTCATTCCACACGAGGGGAGAGACAGCGTGGAGGCCGTGAAGAGGGAGAGAGACAGACCTCCACTGCCCTATGTGTACCAGACGAGAGAGAGACAGACCACCGCTGCCCTCTGAGTACCAGACTGGAGAGAGACAGACCACCACTGCCCGCTGAGTACGAGACTAGAAAGAGACAGACCACTGTGTACCAGAGAGGAGAAAGACAGGCCACCGCTGTCGTCTGAGGACCAGACTGGAGAGAGAAAGTCCACCGCTGCCCAATGAGGACCAAACTGGAGAGAAACAGACAACCACTGCCCTCTGAGTACCAGACTGGAGAGAAAAAGACCACCGCTGCCCTCTGAGTTCCAGAGGATAAAGACAGACCAACACTGCCTTCTAAGGACCAGACTAAAGAGAGACAGACCACCGCTGCCCTCTGTGTACGAGACTGGAGAGAGAGAGACCACCACTGCCCACTGAGGACCAAACTGGAGAGAGACAGACCACTGCTGCCCTCTGTGTACCAGACTGGAGAGAGAGAGACCACCACTGCCCACTGCGGACCAAACTGGAGAGAGACAGACCACTGCTGCTCTCTGAGGATCAAACTGGGGAGAGACAGACCACCATGGCCTTCTAAGGACGAGACTAGAGAGAGACAGACCACCACTACCTGCTGAGTACCAGACTAGAGAGAGACAGACCACCGCTGCCCTCTGTGTACCAGACTGGAGAGAGAGAGACCACCACTGCCCACTGCAGACTAAACTGGAGAGAGGCAGACCACTGCTGCTCTCTGAGGATCAAACTGGGGAGAGACAGACCACCACTGCCCACTGACGACCAGACTTGGGAGAGACAGACCACCACTGTCCACTGAGGACCAGACTTGGGAGAGACAGACCACCGCTGCCTTCAGAGGACCAGACTGGAGAGAGACAGACCACCGCTGCCCGCTAAGGACCAAGCTGGAGAGAGACAGACCACCACTGCCCGCTGCGTACCACAACAGAGAGAGACAGACCACCGCTGCCCTCAAAGGACCAGACTAGAGAGAGAAAGACCACCGCTGCCCGCTGATGACCAAACTAGAGAGAGACAGACCACCACTGCCTTCAGAGGACCAGACTGGGGAGAGACAGACCACCGCTGTACGCTGAGGACCAAACTTCAGAGAGCCAGACCACTGCTGCCCTTTGAGTACCAGAGAGGATAAAGACAGACCAACACTGCCTTCTAAGGACCAGACTGGAGAGAGGCAGACCACCACTACACGCTAAGTGCCAGACTAGAGAGAGACAGACCACCGCTGCCGTCTGTGTACCAGACTGGAGAGAGACAGACCACTGCTGCCCTCTGAGGGCCAGACTGGAGAGAGACAGACCAACACTGCACTCTGAGAACCAGACTGGAGAGAGATAGACCACCGCTGCCTGCTGAGGACCAAACTGTAGAGATACAGACCACCGCTGCCCACTGAGGACCAGAGAGGAGAGAGACAGACCACCACTGCCCTCTAAGGACCAGACTGGAGAGAGATGGACACCGCTGCCCACTGAGGACCAGAAGGAATAGAGACAGACCAACAATGCCTGCTGAGTACCAGAGAGGAGAAAGACAGACCACCACTGACCTCTGAGTACTAGAGAGGAAAAAGACAGACCACTACTGCCCGCTGCATACCAGAACAGAGAGAGAATGACCACCGCTGCCTGCTGAGGACCAGACTGGAGAGAGACAGACCACCGCTGCTCTCAGAGGACCAACTGGAGAGAGACAGACCACCACTGCCCACTGAGTACCAGACTGGAGAGAGACAGACCACCGCTGCCTGCTGAGGACCAAACTGTAGAGACACAGACCACCGCTGCCAACTGAGGACCAGAGGGGAGAGAGACAGACCACCACGGCCCTCTAATGACCAGACTGGAGAGAGATGGACACCGCTGCCCACTGAGGACCAGAAGGAATAGAGACAGGCCAACATTGCCTGCTGAGTACCAGAGAGGAGAAAGACAGACCACCACTGACCTCTGAGTACTAGAGAGGAAAAAGACAGACCACCACTGCCCGCTGAATACCAGAACAGAGAGAGAATGACCACCGCTGCCTGCTGAGGACCAGACTGGAGAGAGACAGACCACCGCTGCCCTCAGAGGACCAAACTGGAGAGAGACAGACCACCACTGCCCACTGAGGACCAAAGGGGAGAGAGAGACAGACCACCACTGCCCACTAAGTACCAGACTGGAGAGAGACAGACCACCGCTGCCCACTGAGGACCATAAGGGAGAGAGACAGACCACCGCTGCCTACTGAAGACCATAGGTGAGAGAGACAGACCAACACTGCCCACTGAGGACCAGAGAGGAGAAAAACAGACCACCGCTGCCCGCTGAGGACCAGACTGGAGAGAGACAGGCCATCACTGCCTGCTGAGGACCAGACTAGAGAGAGACA